AAAATATGTGAACACAACAAAGGGTAGTTTTTTCATTCCATAAAATTAAATTTACGAAATGTTAAATAAAGTTATTTATTGTTAAATATAGAAAATAAACAATTAAAAAGTAGGGAATTATTCATGCTGGCCGGTCAATGTATTTACAATGGTGTTATCGTGGATTCGAGTAACGCACGAGTCAAAATTTTTAGGTTTTAAATTTATATTAAGCTATCATACAACATTTAAGTAAAATACTTTTTAACGGTTTTTAAAATGTGTACTAATTGCGTTACGTACACCCCACTGTACGTAACGCGTGTGTAATGTTACTCATCATGTAACATTTTAAGATTGATAATGTACTTCTTAGGATTTTGGTTACAGAATTATTACTTATCGAATCTGTATAATGTCCATCGTAATCGATATTTACTAAGTTATACTCGTCATTTTAAAATGATACATCGCGCTTCGCCCTTCCAGGTAACCTCGTGAAAATTCGACACGACTGTACTAAAAGGGAATTATTCAAATATTCAGTATTTAATAGCTCTTGAATTTCAATTCCGTCACAGGCGTCGGGTACACGTCACAAATCTTCTATAACTCGGAGGCAATCAAGCGTGAGATCGTGCTATTTCCTATAAGTGCAGCTATATTATGTTAGCTCGAGAGATTATTCGATCAAACCCGTGTGCGCAATATGATTTATGATTGAGGACTCGCTGGTATAATGGTAGCAATGTATAGCTCATAAACAACGGGCCGTAGTTTCGATTCCCACCGGGTAAAACATGTTTCTAATCATTTAATAATTTTTCTGAAGCATGTTGGACTTCGTGTGGAAATCTGGATATTCAATAGCGATATCAAAATTCCGTCCGGTTCAAAAACCACAGCCCACAAGTGAGCTGCGAAGTTTATTCGTGTTTCGGATTCAGTCTGTGTCAGATTTTCGAATAACAAAAGCCAAAATAATTTGACGGTGCAATAAACTCACAAGTTGCGAATCAGCTAAGAATAATTGAGTAAAGTCTGTAGTGAAAGTTAACTAAAACTAAGTAAATATATTTACCGTTGTAAACTGTTTAATTTGTTTTATTATAATTTTTAGAGCTGTTGTCAGTTATTTCGTAGACAGCAAGTACGGCTTGGGTGTAGGTCTGTGCTCTGTTATAACAAAAAATCCAGCTCTTAGTTCAAAAGGTAATTCGAGATCTATCGTTTTGAAGTAATGACACCTTTTGATTGGGCAGAAGAAAATTGTTAAGATCGGCTTTCGAATTTTTACACAGGCACTAAATTATTCACTTAGCAGTAAATTTACTGATTTAGGTTTTTTATATCAAAGAAGTGTAAATGAAGAGGCAGAAATTATCTTAAATAAATTACTGTTTAATGTATTAACTGAGATTTATCTCTACTACAATTTTATAAAGCTGAAAAGTTTGTTTGTTCGTTTGCGCTAATCTCGGAAACTAATAGTTCGATTCGATTTTTTGTATTCAATAGACCGTTATATCGACAAAGGCTTATGCTATACGTATAATATAATGCTGCAACCGATAGGAGTGAAGAAACAGTGAAAAATGTGGAAAAACGTTTTTATATTATCTTTGAGGGTATCGATGACGTCGTAACACCTAGTCATTTTAAAACTTTCGCAACCATTTTGCAAAGCTACTTCAGTTTCGAGCTGTGCGACCGTCGTGATTCAGGAAAGTTTCTCGGTGTTTCGCCATCACGAGTGGATCCTCATAAGATATTAGGCAAAACTGACGAAGGTCTTATATACACAACACGTGTTTTTACTTTCTAAGTCTTTTCACCAGTTTAAGTCACCAATATCAAAGAAAATAAATTTAAAAAAGGCAGGCTCTTCAGTCTAATGGTAAGAATGTATCGCTAATAATCAACAGGTTTGATCCCCATCGGGTCCAACTTCTTTCTAAATTGTGTAAACTTCGTCTGGAAATGTAGACGATGATGATGATGGAATGGGCGGACGTCAGGGTCATTAAACCGCCTATCAAAGATTCGAGTTTCGGTTTCAGTCTTTAAATTTCTTAGAGTCAAAATAGGACGACAGCATATCTTGTCATCAGCGTATCTTGAGTTATATGTAGGCTTCCCTACCATCAAGTGAACGACGCTTACATGTTGGTTACTATCGTAAAATAAACTAGAACGCCAAATCCCTTGCAATAGTTTCAACGATGAGTCGTATAAATATTGCTCCATTGAAAACGGATCATTGAACACAATGATCCGATACTCATTGGTTCTATAGCCATTCGAAACGAATGAGTAAATAACGCCGGATCGTTTATTACTTGTACAGATATTAGAGCGACGGTACCTATAAATAAAAATATTTTCCTTATTCATCGCTATTTCATCGAGATCATCTTTATGGATTTTACGTGAGGTTTCGATATCAATTTCAGACTGTAGTGTTTGTTTTCTGATGCTAAGGGATATATATAGCTTTGAAGTTCTCATCTTATCGAGTTAGTCCTCAATAAGCGTCATTCGTACTTTATCCGCGTAGAATTGTTATTTGGCCATTATATTATTTACTAGCTGTCTTAGCTACTCCATCTGCGTAGAATAGTTGTTGTTTTTGCAAACTTCTACATCTTTATAAATTTAAGCTGCCCACGACATCGGTCGCGACCCGTCCGTTCGCGTCCCGTCGTTTTTGCAAGTTAATCTCAAGAGATGTCATGGACGTTTTTAGATTATTTAAGGATAAATCATTTTTACATACATATTTTTTGGGTGTCTTGAACCGTTTTCGCAGCGTACGCATACAGAGATGAAAAATGTCCTCCGTTTTGTTCACTTTTGCCGCTAATCTTCGCTTCTATTAGTCACAGTGCGATGTTTTATAGCATATAGCCTTTCTCAATAAACCAACTGAAAAATAATTTTCCAATTTAATCCTGTAGTTTCTTAGCATTAGTCCGTTCAAACAAACAAATGCTGCATATATAAGTAGAGGTTTATATTATTCGCAAACAACCTTTTTAAATTAAGTTTGTTTTCGTCCGCGTCCCGTCGTTCTTAGGAGTTAATCTTAAAATATAGACATATACTGTGCCGGACATTTTTTGTAAATCATTTAAAGAGAAACCATTCTTTTATAGTAACATTTTGGTTTCTTGTACTGTTTTCGCAGCGCAGGGAATGGAAGGTCACGAACCTCCCTCCACATAAGACGCTGTGAAGTTTAATCACGTTTCGGTTTCAATCTGTGGATTACAGAATATTAAAGCAAAAATAGTTCGACAGCACATCTTGTTTAGATGATATAGTCTGGGTATTTCACCTACCATCAAGTGAACGCTATGCTTGTCTGTCTTCCGCTATCATTTAAAAAAGCAGATGCTGTAACTGAATACAAACAGAACTCTAGAAGATGAGAAGAATGTACGCTTGATGAAACGCTGTTAACATCTGCAATAGGTATGAGATAACTGAATTATTCACGCAATAAATCACACAGCTATAACGCAACGTGAAGGGCGTTGGGATTAAAAAAGGAAACCAATTTCGCTAGCCCGGACTGGGCCATCAAAAGCCAAACACGCATTATCCTAATTAAACCTATCTCTGACCGTCTGTGGGATGTTCTGTGAGAACGAACTTAAAGTCTTACGAGTAATAGAATTAATCGAAATTTTAAGGAGCAGTAGATACAAAAACATTTTAAGTATACTTGACCAGTAAAACCGAATTAGAGTATGTAGTTTATGTCAGAGATACAAATTATTGTTTAAAACAACAATTTGAATTCAATTTAAATTAATATTTATATAATAATTTATTTGCAATTGCAGCAGCGGTACGGGGGGGCTGAAGATGGAGGTTGTGTGCATTGTCAAAGTCTGCCTGTGACACTAGCGCCATCTGTGGCCAATTATAGTTATCTCATTGGTTTTTAACTGTTATATCCTTTACTTCACACATAGCTTGCTTATAATAAAAAATAATTATAATACCCCATTTTTTTTTAAATCTTTAATATTTAAAACTCATGTAAAGTGTTTTTTGCTTATTTAATTGTTAATTAAAGTTTGCAAACGTTTACGGGGTGATTAATACTCGTATTTTTTTATAATTTATTAAAAACATCTTATTATATATGTTACATGCCGGCCCTAAGCTGCACTCTATTAGGCGACAGCCCTAAGCTGAGCCACTACGGGGACAGTACTGATAGTGCTCGTATTCGATACCCGTGCGATCGGTATGTGACGCTACTGTTGCCGTACCCATTTTAGTATAAGAAATTCATTAGAATTATTGTAAACGTCGAACTGATGCATCGTGCACGGGGAGACGCCTAGTATTAATTAAATGTAGTATTTTTATATTAAATTATAACTAAGCAAATGAGTTTTTTTGCAACCACCGGTGGCGACTTACATAATTTATAACTATAAATGCCATATTGTTAGTAAGCTTTATTCATCATATCTTTTAAATGGTATAATAATAAGCTAACATCATAGCACAAGCGTTATTTTTCATCTAAACAGGACGCGAAAGGAAAAAAACATTTTCCCATTCTAAGAAAAGGAACTTAATTAACATTTTTCCTGTTTCGCCTTCTATCTGATGGCCATAATTTCTTTGAAGTCATACTTAATTGTTTTACCTTAGCGGTGTCTTTTGGTGAAAAATCCCTTTATTGTTGGTCCTATAAACAATGGGCATTGTTTAAGAAAAGGTGCACAATCAATTAATGTTTGGTAAGTTAGTGTAATATTTGAACAACAAAAATCATAATTTCTGTATTAAAAGATCTTAATTTATGTATAATCCATAGACTATAGCAGGCGTGTCGTTAAAACCATTATTTACTAGAAATAAAGTCTTAAGGTTTTAATCCATAAACCTTAAGACTTTATTTCTAGTAAATTATGACAGTCTATCATTATTCTTATAAACTGTCATTAATTGTTATGAATGATCTATATAAAAGATAAAAGGCCCTTAAAAAACTTTTGATGACGACAGCAACCTTACCATCAAAATATTACGATGATGACGAGGAAGAAGAGGTAGATGGAGATCAGATTATACATTGGAGTAATCTATTATTTCTGCCCTTCAATCCCACTGTTAAGGCCATAGTTTTGATTGCAGTTATAATAAAAACTGTTATGGTAAGTTGATAAGGTTGTACAAATTATTAAGTTTTCAGTTAAAGAGCATCAAAATTTATTAAAGAAAAACTAAGTTAAACTTTTATTAGTAATTAGAATATTTTATTCTATATATATTTATAGCATAATACAATATATTGATTTTCTTTCGATTTCGAGGAAATACAGCGTAATATTATTCTAATAAGCTTATTTCGATACTATATTTTGATCTAAGCAAAATAATCGTATAATAAACCGAAAATCGTGGCCCAGTAATTAAATTTAAAACGCTAAGCAGGGATCATGGGTAAAAATCCTGTGATGGAATTTTTTTAAATCAGCTGTACAAAACGTAAAAACGTGTTAGTAATCCTATTAGTTGAACTGGCAACAACATGTGTTATTTTACACCATTTATTTTATGTGAAATGTATATACGTTTTCTTTTGTTTTTAGGGGCCGATCCAAGCTGTCTATCCCATTGTGTATTGTTGGGACACGTTAGATTATGATACTAGTTTGATACTGTTAAAAGGTGCTTATTTATACCTATGTGACCCTATTTACAGTATTGATACTTTGCTGCATATATTGCACAGGTAAATTGCATACTAATTGTTTTTTTTTAAGACATACTTTTTTAATAAATAAATTGGGCCTCAAGATTATTATGCTTAACTTATCTTAACACTTAATTGTTCATAATTTTTGAACAATATTGACGTGCTTGTTGGTGGTTTTGAGCAATATAAGGGGTTGGATCCTACCTGGGTTCAACATTTTTGTAATCAATGTATAATTTTTATGTAACATGTCGGACTTCGTCTGAAAATCTGGATATTAAACGCGTTTCGGTTTCAGTCTGTAGATTTCCAAACATCCAAAGCCAGAATGAAGTCTAGATGTCATATGGCTGGGTTTTTTTACCTTCGATGAAGTGAAAACCCTGCTTGTCTTGTCCTCCTCTATCATAATAAAAACGACGGGACACTACCGCAATATTTGTAGCAACAGCACGGTTAACTGCTGGTTACCCATCCCGCCGGAGTCATATTTTGTCCCTATCGATGTTAAATAACTTGATATTGTTTTAGACAAATTACTGACGAAGCAATGAAAAGGGAATACTTGCCGAAGTCAGGATTCCTCATATTATTGGATATTGTGTCACTTATTCCATTCTTTAGCCTCCTACAGGATGGTCCTTGCGCGCCAGTTGAATTTAGTCCCAATATATATGCTTTTTCAGAATTCGTAATGTAAGTCTCATCTACTTTCTTTGAAGTTTAATAAAAGCACTACTATTTATAGTACAAGTAGCTTTTTTGTAAATACTACTACAGCCTCTATCAAAAAGTAATAAGTATATCAATCGGTTTCCTTTTTTTTCTAAGTTGGATTTACATATTATAGCCATCTGAGAGACATATTTTGAAGGACGTCAAAGCACAATCCAGAATTTTTATATGCTACAAAGACAGATACTAAATTATAATCTGATGCTTTATTACATTTGATGGAGTAAAGAATTTAAGTTAAAGAGATGTTTAGTTAGACTTCTTAGTATATATAGTAGTTAATACCATAAAAAAGGGTCATCGCTACCAAATTATATCGAAATCTGTCGTCACTTGGACGTGAAAGTAACGTCAAGTTCTAACATCCAAACTGACGAATTTATGATGTATTAGGAGGGGATGTAAATATTAGTTATGTTTTCAGAATCTACAGAATAGCCGACTCGTTCTCAATACTGAGCTCTCACAAAATATGGCAAATTGCGATCGGTTATACCTTAATGCTGATAATCAGCGTTAATTGTATAACTTGTTTCTTCATTTTGTTAACTATGCTCGGATTTTGTCCGAGATGCAATGACGGGGTGTATGATTGGCGAAAGTTCGTGTTCCAAAAGGTAATTTTAATTATTACGTAAAAAAACACTTAACGGTTTAAAACACGAAATAGCTATTATAGTATGGTTCCAAATACGACAAAACACGTGGTGTAGCAGATTTGACTTTTACATTAGGGACACGCTCCACCTTAATTATATGCTACAGCTAGTTCTTGATTACATTACTTTATATATAGGATTAAATAATGTTTTCAATCCTGAAAAGATGTCTTGAAAACGCGAAAGATAGTAGTTTAATATATTTATTTAGTAATGGTATAACTCTTCTAACTGGGCATAGGAGACCTCTGACTATGTATATATTGCGCATTTTCTTCGGCTAAAAGCGTTTTATTGAGATGTACCCGGTACTACAATAAACACTTCACGTACTTGTGAATTGGAAATAAAGTAACTATAAATGTGGTCTTCGTATTAAAAAAAAATCATCTTTGACACATAATAAAAACTGTGTTATTAATTTAGCTTTTGAATTCCTGGTTGCGCGGTATTTTCATTTCAAAGTGTTGATATGAAACATCTAAAAGTCAAAACAATACAATAATATGAATTCAAAATGCATTGAATGTCAGGATATTAATATTAATATTATTTATTTCAGTTTAATGAAACAGACACGTCGTTTTCAACGTACGTGTACGCCGCATCGTTTGTGTTAACATTTTTCGTGAACAATCAGTATGATGAAACAAAGCCTTCAACCATTAACGAGTATATATTAATGGACGCGTTCATGCTCATGGGTTATCTCCTCCTCATTTTTGTTGTCATTCCCAAAATGGTCGCAGAGTCTATGCTTAGGCTCCGTCGAATGGGTTCATACTATCCCAAAGTACAGAGAATTATCGACGAGACCCGACGCAGAAATATCTCGCCAAAAGCTCACGAGGACGTCAAAGACTTTTACTCTCTGATTTGGGAAAAACGGAGCGGAATCACCAGTGTCCCCGAAGTTATTTCCGAAATTCCCAGATATCTGCGCGTGGAAATACGCCTGGACTTAGTTTGGCCGATATTTTATCATAGCCCTACCTTTCGGAAGACCTCGAATTCATACAAACGTTGGTTATGTGAAGTTATCCGAATGGACTATAAGTTGCCGGGTGAAAAATTCTTCGCCGGACCAAACTGCTACACGCACTTCTACTATTTGAAATCTGGCAAAATACAATTGATTTCTGTGGACGACGGAGTAACGCCGCTAATAACTTTGACGAGCGGTACTATATTGGGTGATATTAGTTTTTATTTGCCGACACCGAAACGTAAGGTGTTCGTGCAGTGTATAACGTATTGCGAAGTATTGTACATTACAAGAGTTGATGTCCTAAGTTCCCTACACAAACACCCGATTGACCGGCGCCTTATCTTGCAACACGCAAAGGATAGGGTGAGACACGCCCGCACTTTGTACACTTGTAAACAACACGTAAGAGGTTTAGATAGAACTGAAGATGAGGGAGTGTCATGGGTGAAGAAACGATGGTGGGAAATATCTGATGCCGTCCGCAGTAATAGATTATCTATAGGAATAGATGCTTTGAAATGCAAATTCTCAGTAGAAGAAACTGCCTATCATTGTGCTAAGTATATCGGACAACTTGTCCTCACTGGTGATGAGCAACTTCAGACAAAATCCTCCTTCTTGTATACAAAGTTTCCCTGGATTCTAGTACCTCATTCGTATTTTGTAGTCATATGGCATAGGATTGTCGTCGGCACTGTGTTCTTTGTATTAGTTCTTTACCCTCCGTACCTTTCTACGAAAAGTTGCCCCATGTGGTTTGTTTTATTTCAACTTTGGACTGACGTCATCTATATTTGTGATATTTTCGTGATGCTTTTAACAGCGATGGACGGACAAGATAACATTGGTGAAGATTATACGATCGTTATATTTTCCCGATGTAAAACCGGAAAGTTTATGTTAGATGTATTGTCATCTGTTTGGATTGAAACGTTGGCATCTGTCAGTGGGTTCCCTCAGTTATATAACCTTCTTCAATTTAATAGATTAATTAAAATATACGTTTTATTTTCCAAATGGGACATAAGAAAGGATCCACTTTTTGATGTAATTCACAAAATCGCTCTTATATTCGGATCATTTTCAATGATAACAAGTTATTTGCTGTATATGTTTGATCGTGCGCATGTTGAATTACGTACGTCTTACTTTTTCGGTGAAATTTTTGTTAAATGCAATTCGACAGAAGCAACATCAAAATGCGACATTGAATTCACAAATCCTTATATAATCCTATTGGCTTGGTTGCTTGAGTTTATATTCTACGAGTACTTGCCCGGATCACTTCTAGATATCTATGTGATTATTGTCATAAGCTATATAGCATTTCTCATCTTTGTTTATAGTAAAACCGATTTAGTCGCCATGTTCTACTTAAAATATAGAGAAATCGTTAATTACCAGTATTTCGTCAGCAATATAAAAGACCACTATCGCCATTATAAAGTTCATCCGGGTCTTTTGATGCGTTTGAATAAGTATTTGATATGTCACTGGAAGTATTTCAAAGGGATGGACGTTTTGCATCCGAACTTATTGAAAAACGAACCCTATGATATTTATTGGAAATTACAAGGGGAGATTGCGGAGAAAATAATTAGAGAATCTCCTGCTTTTGTTCACGCAGACCCCGCGTTTATAAAGGAACTTGCCTATAAAGCTAAATTTCTTATGTTGCCGAAGAACTGTACTGTATCTGTGTTTGGGGTACAGACTAAGACAGTTACGTGGATTGTACAGGTAAAAACTAAAAAAGTATTTAGCACAGTAACTTTATTCATAGAAAGTTAATGATTTCAAATAGATAAACGATTATAACGTATAAATAATGATTTCAAGTTGAATTCTGTATAATTTTTATTTTTAAATCACGTGGTACGTATTATTTTGAAATTACTTTATTTCATGGAATTGTGCTAAGGTTTTTTTGTATTATATCATTAGGGCTACATCACTTCGGAATACCACGATCTGCAAGGAGAGGTGTACAAAAAACTTTACTGTCCCGGGGACTTTGTCTCGACTTGTGCAGTATTTTTGGGCAGACCATCGCTGCGAACATTATATGCATCAACTGAATGTGAGGTACCTATCAATATAACAATTCATTTTTGAAACTGGAAGAGTGACTTTTCTATATTTGTTTATTTACAAGCAAGTCCAGATCAGTGCCCTTCTTTTTTGCACAAACTACTCATATTTGTCCAAATGTGAAATTCTTTTGACCTTAATAATTGCAGTAATTACATTTAAAATATCATTTGATCATTTTCAGGTGCTATACATGAAAGTGATAGATTTTTTTCACATTCTAAAAAGTTATCCCAATGAGTGGAGTTTTTTTGATGTATGCTTAGAGAAGTATATGCCAGTGTACGATAAGATGGTGGAAGATTACGTTAAGAAGTACAAAGACGTAAGAAAGTTTTATTATATCACTAAGCTCTTGTGAACACTATTACGTCTAAACTTATTAGGAGTTTATAAGAAAAAAGTAAAATTATAGGAGCTTATATCTTTAATTCGAGCCCTTAAGATTGGATAGACTTACTTAGTGATTATGACTGAGATCGACTGTATTTATGTGGTCTTCAAGGGATGGGGGCGACAACTTCCAAATACTCGTCTAAGTAAATAACTGTATTTTTTTTAAATATCCAAATTCCAACCTAATATTTCGATCAATCCAGGATTCAAACCCTCGACCTCATAAATTAAGCTATACCGTATTTATTACTTTGCCAAAATTCGACCAGCTATTATGAATAATATAATAAAGTGATGAATTTATCACATCTAGTAAATTTTGCTATTATATGTATATAATGACCAGTCATTGTGTGTTATTATACATAATGGTTTATCACTATCAGTGTAACATATATATATTTGAATTACAGTATCGTAAAAAATTATATACGCGATATTCAGAATCGGCGTTATTAAAACGTAAGTCTCAACGGAATAATAGGAACATCTGCCAATTTTGGTTCAATCCAGAATCCAGGTACGTACTACTTATAACCTGCGAAAGTGTATTTATGAGTGAAAGTGGAATACCCCAGCCAGATGAAACAAAATGCGCTGTAAAACTTTGCGCTTAGATATTTTGAAATCCACAGACTGAGACCGAAATGTGATTGAACTTTACGGCTCTTTCACCTGTCAATGGTGGTTTTTTACTCGGACAGAATTTCGACATATCACTCGACATAATCGAACCCCCGACTCGCTTATTATTAGCCATAGGTACATTGCTATCAATAGATCAGCGAGCACGTAAAAAAATATTATTTTTTACTGAAATACACTTTTATAATCGTATCTTTTTTTCTGCTTTAACTCGTTGCTGAAAAGCGGGAACTGTTTTGTAACGCGTCACGGCGCCATTCTGGCTGATATACTTTTCTCTTACGTATACACAACTAATCAATATTAAAGAGAGAATATAAAATAAACAATATACAAATATAAAATAAAAGACTTTTATCACTTGATCGGGAAACGTCTAGTCGTTGTTAAAAATAAGTATGTATACAACCAATGTATTCCAGGTTTTATTCGTTAAAAGTTCTAGTTTGAAAGCATTTAATTTGAACGTTTGTTACCACTTACCAGCTCTAACACAAACGGCCCTCCCATGGCACTTACTAAATGCAGGATAAATTTATTCCAGGTTTATACAAAGCTGGATGATTTTTAGAGTCTTCGTTGTCGTAATTTCTATAATATCTGCGTCACTGCAGGGTACGTTTTTAGCTAAAGAGTTTTATTCGATATTACTGTATGTCACAAAATTATTTAAGAGCGTCAAGTATTCAAACCCGTTCTCTTTACATAACTAGCTACTAAATATGTCTGGTTCACTGGTCGTTGATTGGTCTGTAAGTATGTCTTGTTTAACCAATAAAGTTCCAGAGATTCGAATTCGGGATCTCTTACACTTAAAGCATTGCAACACGTTTAAACATTTAGTATTATTTTAATCATAATATTTATCTATAGATGTACTTTTATATTAAACACTTTAACTGTTTAAAACGCGATATATTAGTTAAACTTATTTGAAAATGATTTTTAACTTCGGCCCGACGTTTCGGATGCTTTGCAGCAGCCGTGGTCACGGGGAGACTGCTGGCTGCTGCAAAGCATCCGAACGTCGGGCCGAAGTTAAAAATCACTTTCAAATAAGTATAACTAATATATCGCGTTTTAAACCGTTAAAGTGTTTTATTTAAATGTGTACTACTCGTGTAAACTATAGACAGTATTTATAGATGTACTATTCATGTTGTCTGTAGCGTACATTACAGCGAGTTAATGGTTTAAAAAGCTAATATAACAAATTTCACGTATTAAACCGTTAAAAGTATTTTATTTAACACCTTTACCTTTTACTACGTTTATAGGAGGCATCGGAGCTAGTATAAGACGGTCATTGGTGATAATCAATCAATTTTGTGATTGTGTCAGCTACGCGGATATCTTCATTAAATTTTTTGTAAATATTCATTTTTAACTAAACACAGTTGATAGAGGTATACTAAGCTTAAGAATACGCTTTTTTATAGTTTTCAAGATACAATATTTATTTCTTGAACCATTATATCTTACAAACGATATTCAGTAAAATTTGAATCTGTGATTGCCTCGTTGTTTTTTTTTTAAACCGATTAAACTTCGCGGCTTTTACATCCGTGGACGATTGTTCGTGATTCAAACGGAGTTTTAATATTCCCACCCATTTAATAACCAGATTTCCAGACGAAGTCCAACATGTTTCAGAAACCAATAAAACACACTTTACTATCTTCTCTATGGATTGAGTAGCTTCTAGAAGTCTTCTGATCTGAATGAACTAAATTCATGAACAAACATCCTTTTTCAGCTGGCTTACTATAATTCAAAGGGTTTGCTTATCACTGATCTAAGCGAGAGGCTAAAGCATTACATGAGAAGAGGCTTCATTTGTGACGTCATTGGATCCGTCCCAATAAATCCAATCGTGTCTGTTGTACTCTCCAGAAGAGTGGAGCAAGATGAGGAAGCTCTGATATACACAGCGTCGAAGTTTGCTCATTTCTATCTCATTATGGGCTATTTCGACTATCTATCGGATATGCCGAACAGGAATATTGCTTTTTATATGGTGGGTATTACTGGTTATTATACAACTGTGCTTAAACGTTTTTTAATAGATCTATCAAAATGTTTATATACGACATTTTACCATCACACTACCCTAAATATATTATCTTCTTTCAACAGATATTAAGACGAATTTGATTACATTTTTATCTATTAATAAATTTTGTTAGAATTTAGGCATATTTAATTATTATTATTTTCATTTGTAATTACTAATAAACATCTACACCTATAGAAATCGTTGTCGCCGGACGCTTCACAATTGTGTGACGTCACTAGGGACCTCGTATCAGGTCCAACAGTTATTAAATACACTCTCATATATTCACTTATTTCAGATAATAAAAATGCAAGTGATGACAATATTAGTGACATTGGGCGCATGCCATTACTTCGTAAGCCGATGTATATCCTTCGTATGGGACGATAAGTACAACATGATAAATATGACACGACGCAACCATTGCTGGCTTCCGAGCCACCTGCCCTTAGATGAACATCCCACTTTGAACCAGCTGCAAATAGTGAGTTATCGCCCGATCTTTAACATCAAAGGCTGTTAGTTCGCACGTCGCGTTACAAAGAAGCTAATCTTTAGCATCGTTTAAACTGAATTAATGAGCTTCTCAAATAGGGTTCTAAGCGGGCTACATTTTAGTGGTAAACATTTCAATCTACCTACATGGCAAATTAATGTTTCATCTAATTTTTTCGACGGGCTCGTTGGTCCAACGCATGACTAATAATCTAATGATTCAACTTTAAATACTGTCTATAGTTTACGCGAGTAGTACACATTTAAATAAAACACTCTAACGGTTTAAAACGCGATATATTAGTTAAACTCCCCGTGACCACGGCTGCTGCAAAGCATCCGAAACCTCGGGCCGAAGTTAAAAATAATTTTCAAATAGGTTTAACTAATATATCGCGTTTTAAACCGTTAGAGTGTTTTATTTAAATGGTTTAGTTAGTTTAAAATACAGGGTCACAAAGCACTGTCCACAGATGTAACAGCTGTGAACTTTAATCGCGTTTCGGTTTCATGCTGTGTATTTGCAAATGTCCAAAGCCTTGTCCAGCTATGGGTCTATAATTGGCTAAAACAAAATTGACGAGTATTTTTCTAGAACCACACCGTAGAATCATGCAATTAGTTGCGCGTAGTTGCTCGGTAAAAGTGATATCACGTATATCATGGACATAATGGACAAAGCTGTAGTACTACTGCATAACGGTTGTAACTATACATAGTATGTGGATATATCATATATTGTTATGTTATTGGCAAATGGCTTTAAATGGTGATATAATAACGTATTCTAGTTCTAATTACGAAACGTATTTCAGAAAGAAACTAGTTGCCCGTTTATTACCCCTTACAAAAAAGTAAACAGGATCTTTTGTACTCGATTTTCTCTAAATTACTTAAATAGGGCTAGCTTATAAACGCTTTAGGTTATTGTCGTTTTTTATAATAGGTTTTTTTGTAATTTTAAGTAGCTACATCTAACGTATGCTACATATAGCTACATAAATTAATAGAGATTTTCCTTCAAAACATAGCCTTTAATAACTTTAAGCCACATTTTAGGCAAGCCTTTCCCTTTCATACAAAATTAGACAGAGAAATGTTCGCGATGCTAGGTTTAAATTATCTTAATATTTAAGATTTAGAGAAGTTTTAATATAAAGGTATATGCGGAGAGCTTTAATCTCGCGCAGAGTGGCCTCATGAGATTCAACCTTGGCAAGTTCCATATAGACCGGGAATATCTTGGAGTGGGAATTACTTTATGTATTCTCGGAATAATGTTCTGGTAAATTTTATTTAAATAGCTGGCACGTTATAAATTTCGTAGAGAAAAAATAAATTCCTTCACTTAGATTGACTACAGATTATACATTTTAAAACGACATTTTTATGATAGGCCAGATATAATGATCTTACAAGGTATTTATAAGATGTAGACGAGAGGTGTTTTGGACACTATGGCATTATAAAAGTGTAAAATTAAACCGGCCACCCACACCTGTGTCACGGTCGTTAATTTTATTATTTATCCTATTGCCTATTATTCTTTTAATATTCGTGTTACATTATTATGTTAAACAGTAATTGTTTATTAAATTATTAATTGTGTACATTAGGTTCGTCATGTGTTACTCTTTAACTTTGCTGGTCCTCAACTTTCGAGGAAACACCTTATTTCAACATGGAGTCGGACAACTGAGAAGGTTCTTACAAGCCGAGAGGGTGGATAAAAAACTAATAGAGACGGCGATGACACACTTTCGTTATTGGTGGTTTAGGTAAAATATTTTAATCTATAATAAGCACAATTTTGTTAGATTTCATTATTAGGATATTAACAATAATTTTTCTGAATACTATCTATAGTTTACGGGAGTAGTACACATTTAAATAAAACAATTTAACGGTTTAGAACGCGATATATTCGTTAAACTTATTTGAAAATGATTTTTAACTTCAGCCCGACGTTTCGGATGCTTTGCAGCAGCCATGATCACGGGGAGACAGTTTTAATAATTTTCTGTATCATTTACGATATATACGATACGATATATTTTTAATATTATTACAATACATTAAAAATCAGTCAAATCCCGTCGCCGTGGTTTCTTTGGCCGTTTCGCTGTCTATATTTACACACACGTAGTTAATCAGGCTTCTATGCCCTGCCCGAGTAAAAAAAATCTATTGTTTTCCGGGATTCAAACATATCACTTTCAAATCTATTGTTTTCAGGACAAAGGGAGTAAACATGCAAAGTCTTATGAACGAACGAATAGGTGTAGTTTTCAGACAAGATTTGAGCTATTATTTTTTTAAAAGGTAACTGATTTTGTTATTTAATATACTTCAATATCATCCGAAACTCTAATCATCTACTGTACTTTTGCATATTAATAAGATATTACAACAACATTATAATTATTTCATGTCAACTTTAACATCTTACTTCAATATTATGTACAATGCCCTAATCAAAATATAGAGAAACGTAAAATTATCATGATAGCTTCTATATATTAAAGGAGGTTTTTCATTGACCTGAGGGGCATATGGTGATTAAGAAAACGTCAATAATACGATGCTAGAGTCGTTAGCTCAATTGGTAGAGCAAGTTCTACAAATAACCACAAAGTTCTTCGTTCGTTTGTTCGTTCTGTTGTTCATTTATACGAGTTCCGTCTGAATCATATTATAAGACATTATTATGTTCTATTCATATTATTATGTGTGTATGTACTATTGTACATGTTTTATTTTAGTAAAACCATTGTAATTAATAGGACTTCAAACATCTTCATGTCATATCTATTGTACTTAGATACAAAGTCTTACATTTCTCTCGATTTAATCAACTCTAACAGAACGATCGAAGCTGCGGATACTTTGTTGCACGGCGGCGAAAGTTTAGAAAGACAGCTAGTGAGTGCGGCGACTCAGTGGTTCTTTCTACCCGGGGAAGTTATTGTACGGGAAATGGATTTGAGTCCCTGGGTCTACATAGTACATAGGGGCAGTATCCTCATCAAACAAGATGACGAGGAATTGGCTAAGTTAACAAAGGTCAATTTCAGAAAAATTATAAATTAATAAGAAATATGCTGGATCCAGTGGGATCAAAACCCTTTGGTTTACATTGTTATCCATTACACCAATGAGTCCGTCAATTTTTTTGAAAACTTTTGATGTACCTATATTTATAGGCTAAGTTCATATTTATTTATATTATTAATTTAAAACCAGTGTACTAACACATCTATACTGACATTATAATAAATGTTTTGTGCTTACCTGCATCTTGGAAACTATAGCTCTTTGAAAACTTTATTATTTTTTACACGTTATTGCACATGAAGGCGCTAAATAATTTAAAAATCAAAAATAGATTGAAAAAAATTGACGATGAGGTGTAGTAGGACGCGGTATCTCAATTGGTAGAGCAACAGCACGGAACGCTGACGATGTCGGTTCAAGTCCTGCTCGAGTCGAAGATTTTTTCAATTTCTTTCGATTTTTAAACTATAGCTCTCTTTCCACTACTCTATTTTAATTTAAATTTACACGACGTAAAACTTCTTAAGTAACAAAATGTCAGAGCTAATACCGCGTAACAAGTTTATTTTCTTAGTTGTCTCTAACAATGGAGTAACTTGGAACTTGTTTTAAATAAGGTTTTCAACAGGGGTCAATATTCGGGCAATTGGATGGAATTAAACCGCGACCCGTTCGGATAACCGCAGTGGCTGATGGTTACGCGGATCTTCTACAGATTCCTATAAAAGACTTCCAAGATGTCATCGGAGATGAGGTAATATACTAGAAAATTTTGTAAAGATTCTTGTATTATCACTCTTTCGTCTTAACGGTAAATGTATTTGAATTTTGCCCGAAAAACGTTTCCCCAAGAGAGGTTACGTTCCGGCAAGCACTATTCTATTGCTTGCAAGATTAATAATATTATATTGATAAAATTGTAACAGATTTAGCAACCGTCGCGGGTTTTTATTACATCATTTAAAAAGAAATCATTTTCTCATACATATTTCTTTGTTTTTTGAACCGTTTTCGCAACGGACGCAATGGAAACCCTCATAATGAGTAGTTTTTCCCGGCGTTCCAAATTTTCCACTGTTTCGCAGCGTGGTGGTGGCCTAAAGCCTTCCTCGATAATTAAACGAAACGACCTTTTTTTATTTATTTTTTAATATTTGATAATACCATACGCCAGCTTATTAAATATCATTTGGTTTATGTGTAAAGTTACTCCTTCGCAACTGTATTATTTCCACGATTTGTGAAATACCAATGCTACAATAATCGTAAATAAACGATTTAATTTTGTAGACAAGAGAACGAATCAAGCACTGCCCGCAAGCGAAACACGACTTCATGGCTGTGAAAAAGACAGTTATTGAAAATCCATATAATTCTCTCCCGTATATATTGCGTGGGCGAAAAACGATTAAACTACCAGTAAGTTCTCTTTTTCGTTATCATTAGCGAGTTTTAATGACAGATAATTAATACTAGCGTTCAATGTAAAGGTTACTCATATATATCCTGGGTTCGAATCCCAGGGAAACATTATTTAAATTTGTCTTGGTTGGCTTTCAAACTGCCTATGAAAATATATTCCAAACTACATTATCTCATCAGTCAACTTATCATTGTCATTTTAAACGGTTTAAAACGCAAATATATTAGATTCACTTATATACTATATTAGATTATTAACAACATTTAACTACAAGCCATCATGCTGTCACCCTAGTTAGTGACGATTTTCACTGTACTAAGAATAATACCCATTAAATAGTTAGGCCATCCAGAAGTATTCAAAAATAATTCTGGATGGCCTAACTATTTCGTAGGGTAATGCGTCATATTAACAATGTGCTTTCATTCTTGTGTCACGCAGATTCCATATTCAAATTATATTAAGTACAGTAAGAATTGATTAAACATCTGCTATAAATGGTAAGCAACAAATGTGGTTGAAATAGAAGATAATAATAATAAATTTAGTTTATCGTCCAGAATGCATTATTTTTTTCACAGTGGATGGCAACACCTTTAAGGGCTAGAACCGATACTTGGTACGCACGCTGGCTCTATCTCTGCTGGTTCATCTTTCCGGCCATCACTGCATTTATTGTGCTGCTGGCGAAAGCTGTACCGGACCACTGCGAGCACAGAATCTATTGGATATTATTCGTTTTGGATTTGTTTCATATCGTATATTTACTAACAGAGTTCTATACAGTTAGTTTTCAACTTTTTTCTGACTCTTACTGCTCAAGGATTGTCTGTAATTTACGCGAGTATTACACATTGAAATAAAACACTTTTAACAAATAAGTTAACTTATTTTTAAGTCCCCCCGTGATCAAGGCTGCTACAGAGCATCCGAAATCTCGGGCCGTTGTTAAAATATGAATTTTATGTTAACAATTTCAAGTGTTTTATTTAAATGCGTACTATTCGCGTTGCTTATGAATATGTACCTTCTTAGTTTATAATTAATAAAACACTTATAACAGTTTAAAACGCGAAGTTTAAAAATGTATTATACGCATGAGGTAAGATACGACTTATTCACTAGTCATCATACCACTGAAGAAAGAGCCCGAAGAGATACTCGTACGATATTTTATTGGTCTTGAGCAAACAATGTGTAAAATGAATTCTCATTTACAGCTAAAATTGGTCGTGCAAAATGGCGAATGCGTCGAAAGAATACAGAAATGGCACACATTCAAGAACTGGAGTTATTACATCGACATTCTCTCTCTGACGATACCCATTTTGACACATTTTACAGGAGATTGGAACTATCGATTGGCGAGATTGTTGCGATTGAGGCACTTCTATTATTTTCATCATCATTTCTGTAAGGGATTTAAGGTTTGTTCAGAAAAGGGTTTAAAATCTTAGACATCAAGATAATTAGTATAAGGCATAGGATCAAATGCCATCAGCGCTAGTTTAGAGCCATTACGCACTGTCGACCAAACGCCGGCGACTAAAATGTGTGTCGCCACTACGCGATAAGTGGTCGAGATGCCTGGGTGGCCACGACCAAGTGCGCAAGAGCCTATTAAACCATAGTAACTTACGGTCGCCGAAGACTCAGTCGCCGGCGACTGGCCGACAGTTTATATAAATAGCCCTAAGTTTCCACAGCTGGGCGCTGGCTAGGTCCTAGTAGTCCAGACAAAGTTTTAGAAAAAATATAAATTGATTAGAAACATGCTGGACCTGGTGAAGATCAAACCCTCGACCCGTTGATAACCATAAGTTTCTATCATTAGACCAACGAGCTCAAATCATCAATTTTTTTTTCCTAAAAACATACTTTACCGTAAGTTCATAATCCATCTCATATAATTATAGGATGGATTATTTATCAATAAATAATAAATGTTAAAAATAACAATTAACTAAGAAATTATTGTTTTTTTTTCAGAGCCAAATAGCTCCTATATTATTAAAATTTGTGATCGTATTCCTATCTATTCATAGTATGACGTGTGGGTGGATATACGTCGCTTGTCAACGTAAGGAAATTAAAACATTTTCGACCTTAGGCTGCGATCTCCCATGGATTATTCCACATGGATTATGAAAGATCTGGATATAATTTTTAGCAAAAAAAAACGAATCTAAACAATAAGCTTAAAAGCAAAAAAATATATATATATCGTATAAAGTATATACTTTGCACGAAGTACATATATTTACCTACTTTAACTTAGTTAAATATAAGTGATTAAATAAAAATTTTAGTCAATGAACTCAAAAATAAAAAAAATATAGCTGAGTTATATTCGAATCTAATTGAGAACATCATTTTTGAAGTCGATTAAATTGTGTACGTCTGTACTTAACGCGTGTATTACTAATTTAAATAAAAAACTGTTAACGTGAAATTTAATAGTTTTCTTATGTGTAATCTAATAATCTTAATTCTTATGTATAATATAAGCTTCTTCAGCGACTTCGTTCGCGTAGAATAGTTGTTGGGTATCCAAATTTGTTTTTGCAACCTTCATCTTTATAAATTTAAGTCGTTACCCACAATATCGGTCGCGTCCCGCCGCTCGTGACCCGTCGTTTGGGTTCTATCTTTCTTTACAACTTAATCTTAAAAGATAGACATATTCTGTCATAGTAATATTCTTAGCTCATTTAAAGAGGAAACACTCTTTCTTACATATATTTTGGGTGTCTACCGTTTTCCCAGCGTACGCATCGGAAACCCACAGAGACAAGTAATTTCCCCCGTTCTTTCCACATTTCCCGCTGTTTCTTCACTCCTATTAGTCACAGCGCGACGATGAAAATAATAATTAACGCAATCAAATTTTAGATGAAAAGTTTCCAATTCAAGTGCCACCGTTACCAGCTGCGATTAATAAAACTATTGACTACGATGAATGGGTACATCCAACGCAGAGAAGAGGTGGTAAGTTTAAGAATATGTAATTGTTTTATTTTTATTTCATTGTTCCATAGCAATCCATTGCTACCACTACGACCCGAGCTACGACACGGATAAACGTGTGATAGTGAGTATAAGAGGGGACATTGATGATTGATGAACCACAATAATAAAAATTGTTTTTTAAATAAAAATTGCTATTAAGAAAACTTGTTATAGTGAATGTAAGAGGTTCAATGGATTTTGAAGTTCATACGGACTAAACTAAAGATGCTGTCATAATATGGGTTCCATGTAGTTAAAATCTATTTTGTAACAAAAATATTTAATTGTTTAACTGCGTAATAACGAAAACGTGGAGACAACAAACTCAAATGAGTTTCAGAAGATGCTTATCAATTTTATTGTTGTGTATGAACATCATAAATAAAACGAAAAGGTATTTTAACTTTAGCAATACATATATTATGATACCCAAGATTTGGTCACTACCGTTGTCATTAATATACACATACGACTGTAGCGTAATTATCGCAATAATTGTCTTTAGGATGTCCGCGTCTCACGAAAAACTTTATCGTGGATGGAAAAGTCATGTTCGGTTTAGTGGTACCGAAGAATTGGATGTCCGATTACATCGTTGCGATCACACATATTTTAGTTATATATACACATACTGAAATTGATATAGTAAGTTTTTAAATACTGGTAACATAATGACTAATAACATTTTTGGACTATGAAAATATAAATAACACAAGTCATAAAAAAAATCAGCTAGGCTACTCTACCTCTAGCGGCCTCAATTACAACTTTAGTGATATACAAGATATGAATAGTATACGTCTGTAATTAGTATAGTGAGTGAAAATAATTTTTTTATAAAGAAGCTATTTCGTAAGCCCTCCTCAATATGGTTTTCAGGTGGTCTCCTTAACTCTAGAAGAGATGTACTACAAAGTACTTCTTAACTTGATCATTCACCCAATGGAAATATGGGTCCTTAGTTGCGCCATAAGCGCAGTTTACACGAAGTTCCGGGAACTGTTTACCTATGACTACGATGTACAAAGTTTGATTCTTTATTTAGAACATAACGGCTTATCTTCAGTTCTTCTTGACTCCGTTAAAGAATACACCAAGCAATTATGGCAGAGACAAAGAGGTACATTTAACATGTTAACATATTGGTACTGCCGACAGAAGTGTAAACATTTTTCATGTGATGGTAGATGAAATATCCCAGCCCCATGCAATGTTAAGATTTTATACCCAGCCGTATAATCTTAACAGGATGTGCTGACCTATTTTTGCTTTGGATATTTGGAAATCCACAGACTGAAACCGACACGCGATTAAATTTGACGGCTTTTCATCTGTGGGCGTTTTTCAGACGAAATCGGACATGTTTTAGAAAAATCTAGAAATGTGATGGACCTAATTGGGTTTGAATCCACGACCCCTTGATTATGAGCCATATTTGCTACCATTACACCTAAGAGCTCATCTACGTAAACTAATAAGACGATGATTGAATTTTAAGCTTATGTTAGACTTATATGCAGTACAATGCATAAGCACAGCTTTCTGTAGTTCATTAAGAACATGTCCTAATAGTACGTAGAGCAGTGATGTAGAATTGCGATTTATTAGTGTAGTGTAGACTTATATGAAATTCACGAGTTATTCAAAATCATGGTACTGCATTTATTTACATGCAAACAAATAAATGGTAATTAATTATAGGGCTTGCAAACATACATGGTAAAGTTAATTTTAAAATGTATACAAATGTTTTGATTTCAATTTTAAACACCGTAGAATGTGTCATAATAACTACCTATTACTTTAATTAATGAGAGTAGAAAAATGTCTCAGTAAAGAGTGACTTTAGAGGAAGTATGAGTTTTTATTTTTAGTTCTAAAGGTCAGCATCGCTTGATGCCTCCTATACACGTCGGCCGAGCGGCTAGTGTACACCACTACCAAGTTGTAGACAGTATATTTGCATTGTCGCTCGGTGTTGCTCACCTTTGTTGGCCGTGGTATGTCAACCGCTAAGGCGTTAGAACTCACGTGGCGTAGCTTGCGATCGCTTGCTTACTTTGTAACAATGGTGATCGCGTATTATTTCGCGATTGGTGTCCATCTTAGGACAAACTTGACAAACGTCGAGGCCGGACCACTTGATTTGTATTAATTTGCCTACGCTTGCGTTAGTCTATGCTCGGCCAAGGATTATAGCAGGCATCATAGTCGCGTAAGAAGCGGCGCGTTCTAATTTTGAAATGGAACGTTCGTCGTGTTCGGCGCATACGTTGCTAACAAATCAGCGATTACCTTAAATGTTTTATACTTTAATATAAATATTTATTACAGGTTTTTCAAAATAAGACTTTCTATAGCTTCTTTTTATTAATTTGTTTTTATGATAAAGAAAGACAGACAAGCGTGTAGTTCACTTGATGGTAGGTAAAATACTTCAGCCATATATTGAAGCCTAAACAAGATAATCTATCGATCTATTTTGACTTTCCACAGACTAAAACCGATACGCGATTAAACTTGACGGCTTTTCATCTGTGGACGGTGGTTCGTGACCTGGACGGAATTTCGTTTACAACCCATTTAATCCAGATTACCAGAAAAAAAAAATTACAATATTGGACCTGGTGGGAATCGTACTCACGACCTGTTGATTAGCCCCACGTTGCCACGATTACACCAAGGGGCCCGTCAAAATTAGTTCGTATCGTGTCATCTAGGGAATTGGTTACCCGAATTAGCACAACAGGCGCCTCAGTGCCTTCGCGAAGACATGCTGTGCGCCCTCTATATGCATCATGTAGAGACTCCGCCATTATTTCGCGAGCTCCCTGAATATTTCAGACGGCAACTCGTCACGAAACTGCAGCGAGTTGTTATTTTTCCGGGTCAGTATAAGTTTTGAACATGTTTAGTCTTTAATTTGAAGTAACTAAACTTATATGTTGATATAGTTTAGGTGAAATAAAAATCTATATTGAAAAATCATCAAAATTTTTGCACTATTAATATATTAGTCACATATTGTCAGATATTGTACGCACTCGCGTTAAATGTGTACTACTCAGACCATATGTAAATAAAACATTATTAACGGTTTAAAACGCGAAATATATTACTTACAATTTAATTGCTAGATGCTCTGCGACAGGGTCAGTTGGTGACGGGGGACCGCGACTGTTGCAAAGTATCCGAAATGTCAGAGCGTAGTAAAACTATAAACTTCGTTACTTATATATTAAACCGTTATCAGTGTGTTATTTAAATTAATGCCTAATTATATAGTTAATAATAGTGACTTATCATTAAATAAAGTTATTTTTCATAGGAAAGTATATCGTGCAAGAGGGAGATATATTTTCTTGCATGTACTTTATACACGAGGGTGAAGTTGAGAAATGGTACACTGATAAGAGGTAATTATATTTATTAATCATACGACTCTATCCAATTAAAGTAAAAGTTATTAAAATGTCAAGTGAAAATTTAACCTTTTATAAAACTTGCGGGTGGGTATGGTATGAAGTTTTACTAGCACCTTATTCTTAATGAAAGTGTTGGCCCATGAGCTTAGTGTTAAGATCGAATCACTCGTTCAGGTATATAAGGCTATAATATTGTTTTTCATTTCAGCGGTGAAAAGAAGATGCTATCATTGCTGTCAACGAATGGATACTTTGGTTTAATTCCAGGTTTATTCCCGAATACGCCGTATCAGTTCTCATATTATTCTCGAACGGTGAGAAATAATATTAATGAAGACTATTAAAATTTTTATGTTAAATATGTCAACAAAAAAAATTTTAATGCTTGAAGCTTCTTTACACATTGGAGTATTTTGATATCTTTGCTTGAGCATAATCCTTCAATGTTAGAATTATGTATTGTCTGTAGTTTACGCGAGTAGTACACACTCAAGTTACACTTTCAACGGTTTAGAACATGCAATGTACGCAACTTATTTATATTTTTTTACTACTGTAGTTAAAATAATTTATAATTAATTTGTCGCATTAATAGTTTTCTATTCACAGGTGGTCGACTTTGTATTTTTAAGACATCGAGACTGGCAAGACCTGTTACAGGGCTACCCTAAAATAAAGTACGATTTGTATACAGCTGCCAAGCAGTTGAAGAAAGACTTGCAAAAGAACATTCTTTAGATGAAGGTGTTATTTGTTGTTTATTCTGTATATCTATTAAATATTTCTTTTTCGTCGTTATGTTTTTATTTATTGTCTCTTATATAATATATTTTATATCGCCTCTATAGCAAAATTAAACGTGTTGCCAAGCATTGCAATAAGCGTGAGAGGTCCAGGGTTCGAAACCCAAGAAAACAATAAATTAGCTGGGCCGGGCGGGGCACAGAAGTCTGATCAACTACTTGCCTGTAAAAGAAGCGATCAGTGAAACGGACTCATAAATGTATTCGCCCCATGCCCCACGGGGTAAACAGGTATTCACAATATACATTATACTTTAAGGCCTTAATTCACTTCGATTTTTCTCTTAAAGTAAATATTGCTTCGCAGTAAAAGAAACGGACTCGTTTGACGGTCTCGTGGGTCTAATGGTAGCTATGTATGACTAATAATTAACGATAATAATTAACTGACTCCAACTGATTATAATCATACTGAAACATGTTGGAAATCTGGATATTAAATGGATGGTAGGAATATAGAATTTTATCCGGGTCACGTACCACAGTCCACAGATGATAAAGCTTAATCGCGTTTCGGTTTCAGTCTGTAGATTTCCGAACATCCAAAGCCGACAGCGCCTTTGGTTTACATGCTGGGGATATCACTGGGGTATATCACCTACCATCAAATCAACCCCAATGCTTCTCTGTCCTCCTCTGTCATTAAGAAAAAAGCAAATGTGTAAGCGAAATGAAATAAACATCATCATGAAATTGGAATATAAGGTTATCCCTTAAATATCTAATTCCAAAAATTTCCGCAATAATTTCGAATTTAACCAAGATTACCGCGATTAAATTTTGGGAGCCCGACGAAAATTTCGTAGATATTAAGTAACGCTTGGAGAGTTCTTGTAAGTTTACGAAATTAATACACTCGGTGTTTCCTGCCTGCTCCTGTAAATTTAAGGATTTAAGGATTCACTTATTTTTATCCCTCCAAATAAAGATTAATAATAAGATTGGAGTTCTGGATCTTGTCTGGAAATCTGGATATTAAATGGCTGGTAGGAATATCGAAATTCCTTCCGGGTCACGAATCACAGTTCTCAGATAAAAAAGCCGTCAAGACGGTTTAAATCTGTGGATTTCCGAATATCCAAAGCCAAAGTAGGTAAGCGTATCTTGTTTAGGTGTTACATGACTGGTATATTTCACCTAACATCAAGTGATACCTCTGTTGTTTGTCCTCCTCTACCTTAATAAATGTTTATCAGCCGTAAGCACATGTACACATTTTTATTCTACTTTGCCTCTATCATACAAAAACCCCTAATGTTGACCTAATCGGCTTTTCATGAAACACTGTTGAATTTCAGCAATTTCAGGGTGGAATAATATTTTTTTGAGTCGGAGGGTGAGAAATTTATAGGTGTTTTATTTATTGAATGTCTTCTAATTTAAATTCCTCTTTGGGATTATTTTGTTTCAATTTTACAGAGCTCTTTGTAAGAGTCGTCTGGTAAGTATTGTTTTAACGTTACGAAATAAATTGAATACTTAAACTCTTGAGACTAAGTTGATCTGTAACCGAAACGCGATTAAAATTGGAAACCGGACAGATTTCGATATTCCTACACATTTAATAGAAGTCTAACATGTTTCAAAAAATATATAAATTGCTTACAAACATCTCGGACCTAGTGGGCTTCGAACCGGCGACCTGTTCATAATTGTCCATACATAGCCACTATTACACCAACGAGCCTGAACAAACTTCTTCGAATTCAAAGAGTAAAACGGGACACTCATAATTTCGCAGTCTGTTTGTCAATAGGTCCTAGTGACTATCGGAAGATTTTCTCGTTGTGCTATTGCTACTAATTAAAAAGGGGGGGTTCCCTAAAAATGACGTTTTCTCTATTTCTAACCGATATAAATAAACAATAATAATAATAATTTATTAGTCAGATTATCGATTGTTTTCTTAAATGTAATGAGTGTTGGGTTAGTAAAATTTGACTTAAGCGGTATATTATTATGACGTGTTAGTCACTAGAACTAAAGAAACAAAATATAAATTGTTTAATTATCTAAAAAAAATGTTCCTTTATACAAGCGGTACAGCTCGTACCCGACTCCAATTGCTGTGAGGCATGGAACACATTTCTGTGGCCGTTTCATCGATAAATATTTAATCAGATTTGTGTACAGGACTAAAAATATTTTCTTTTTGTCTTCATTGTTTGAAACAAAGGCGGTCGCACAATGTTTAAAAAATACTCGACTTTTTTTTAATGCTATAGGGAACTGTTCGAACTCATCTAATACAGAATGTTAGATATTTCATTGCACAGAGTTTCATTAAACGGTAAATCCGCTTGTTACAATTTCTCAGTTGTCTCGTCGGAGACGTTACCTCCTTGAGCGCAATTCCATTTCGTGAATTTTTCATCCTATTATGGAAGTAATAAAAGTCCTGGATATTTCATCTCGACCGCGGTTTATGGCCGATGAAGCTAATAAAAGGTACAGTTTCAATTATCACTTCCCTCCTTTTGAAAGCCTATTTGTTTCGGCTTAATGTGACTTTTTTATTTTTTTTTCTGTTTGAGACTGTTATTAGTATTGCTGTGATAAATTTTGATCCTTACACTTGAAGAGGGGAAGTCATTTTTAGGTGCTTATCAGATAATTGAGATCCGAGGTAGAAAATTTTGCAGAAGGAAGTAAGTAGTAGAACATAAGTATGCAAAAGTTAAATTATTCTTTAACGTTATAGTAACATTAAATGAAACATTTTAAACATTAAATAAAGTATTTCCCATATTTTATTTAATTATTCTATAATATATTAACTTCGACGTGAAGTTTCAGATATTTCACAGCACCCGTTTTCTAGGGTCATTTTAAATTTTCAAATAACGAAACCGTAAAAGTGTTTTATTTAAGTATGTCCATATTTTAGCCGAGGAGTATACAATTAAGTAAAACACATTTTTTTAAACGCGTCTATTGGTGAAAAAATTACAACTCGGTCAGGACTTGAACCGGCGTCCACAACGTTACGTTCTGTTGCACTATATAGTGCCATTATGTGCCATGATATTGCAAAAAATATTCAAAGTGTCATTCGTTACCCTTTTATACATTTTAAGTTTATTATAAAGCAGTTTTGTGTCTTAAATCTACATATCATAATTGTTACAATTGATTCTATATGACCATACACAAAAGAAATAAGAACGTTTGCATTACACCAGTCTATTTAAGGAAGTATACTTGACCAGTTTTCCCTGTTTAATATTGAATCTGAATCCGGCGTGATTGCGACTAGTTGAATCGCTCGTGAGATAAACGTAAAATGGAGCATATCATTCGTGTTTTTCATGTAACGTCAGCATTTTCCGGCGTGAAATATGTTTTTCCTGGATTTGAAGTTTATGGAAGAACGATATGGGAGGATTGGAATCCATTCTGTTAAATATTGACAGGGGCAATCGTGTAGTATAAAAGGTCACATTATAATTAGTTATATGTATGTTATGTTAATTTGTTAAAGTGAAGGAACGCGTATTAAAGCAATAAATTACAAACCAAATTCTTGAATTAATTAACAACTCTATGTCCACATACTTAGCGCTGCTTTTTGAGAATAATAACAATATATTTTATACTGATTTATACTGTAATTGTTTTATCGTATTCTGTATAAAGAAAATGTATTTTGTACATTTGTTTCTGAGATATAAAGAAATAAATACTTCTAATTGTTTTTCAGATTTTTTTCGACGGCACACAATAGCATAAATTGAGTAACATGAGCCACAAACGTTTAATATGCTACTTTTCTCAAAAAGCAGTGTTAAGTATTTGAATATATTAAATACTAGCTGTGCCCGCGACTTCGTTCGCGTGGAATAGTGAGTGAGAGCGAGAGTTTTTAATTATTTAGGCTGTTTATTAATTTATGTAATTGCGCATTTATCGCAGCCAATCTATGTTGTAAGTGCTACTTTGCCGCAACACTCTCACCGCACATCACTCCTACTCTAACTCGCACTCTCATTCCTACACTCACTCTCACTCCTATTCCCAAAAACCACGTATTTCCATACAAAATTTCATCCCCCCTTTTAACCCCTTAAAACCCCTTTTTCGCAATAAAATGTATGCCTATGTTCTTTCTCAGGCCTAAACCATCTGTGTACAAAATTTCATTCAAATCCGTTCGGTAGTTTTGGAAAGAAAAGAAAAAGAAAGAAAGAAAGTGAAAGAGTAACAGACATACAGAGTTACTTTCGCATTTATAATGTTAGTAAGGATCGTTGAAAACAAATGATTACAACTTTTATATCCAGTAATGTATATATAGGTAGCTTACACACACAAGATATTATGTTAGCAAGAACGATATTAATATGTGACATAATAAGCTTATTCCAGAATATAGCAACATCAAGACAAAGCGTCGTAGCAAGCATTAACTTGATTGAGTTAAATGGACTACGGTTTACTTTTCTTTACTGTGGCTTCAATCAATTATATATCCTATGCTCGTAAGAACTAGGGCCACTTTCACGTCCGTATACGGTAAAGTAAAATAAATAGCGAACTATGAAGTTTTAACAAACACTCAGGTAAAAGGAACGTCTGTGGTTACGTTAACACATATTAAAATTTGTTTGAAAATAGGATTTTTGAACACATTTTCATGTATAAGTACGTTTAAGTCTTAATGTAGCAAGAAGGGGTTAGTGTTTAATCGTATTTTTTATAATTTATGTATTTTGGAATTAAACTGTTTTATTTCTTAGTATTCCCTTGTCCTCTTAAGTTTTGATTAAACATATGAATATGATTTAATTTCAATTCCTTTAGCGTGGTTTTTTTACGGGATTGTATTTCCAACTGTAGCTACGTACTACGTGCTAATAATCAACTTTTCTTTATGAGTAATACTGGCTGTTTTTGTACCTTTGCCTAAAAAAAATAAGTTGATGCGCGCGCATCGCT